ACCAGTTTGAGAGAGTGGCACAAGGTATTACTGAGAAGTAAGAGAAACAGCGTCTTCCCGACAGCATTTGGGTTCTGGATCAAACCATGCTTGAACCTTCATGAACTTTCCAGTTGCATGAGTTAACAAACCCCGCACTGTCTTAAGCCAGCCCAGGTCAGATTTTCTCATCACTTACAGGCAAAAACAGACCTGACTGATAAACCCATTTTCTGGCATCAAGGTCCTTGTATAATTAACCAAATTAATAAAATGAAGGCTGCTTCAATTAGCACAGATTCAGAGCAAAAAAAAAAAAAAAAACTGGATCATGTTTCCAGATATATGACTCAGGTTTTAGGACATCTCTACCCTACTTTAAGTATTGTAGAGGGAAAGATCTCCAGAATCAGAAAGTGTTCGGTTTAAATCCACTTACTTCCTACCTGTGTGACCTTAGGTAAGTCACTAAACCTCTCTGAGATTCTATTTCTTCGAACGTCTGAGATAAAGTACATAAAGCACTAGGTACAGAGTAGGTGCTCAATAAATGCACCCCCCCACACACACACATACACACACGCGACATGGTTCAGCCCATCTAGATTTGCTTAATTAGAGGTACATGAAGAAGACCTATGGGGACAAAGAGGAAGGCCATCTGGGCTCCCGAGAATTCACCCATGATAGGTGCTGCCCCGGTCTTCTGGCCTTATTCTAGAAGCAGGATAGTGTGGTAGAAAGGAGCAAGTGCTTTCGAGTCAGAGGACCTGGGCTGAAATCCTATCTCCATTCTGTGATCTTAGGCAAGTTGCCCAACCTCTCTGAGCCTTGTTCTTCCATCATTAGTAAAAAAGAGAAGGTTTTGGCTACCTCTTAAGGGGATACAAGAATCAAAGTGTGACGCTGTGCACACAGCACTCAGCACACTGTTCAACAAACAAGTGTGACTATTTTCCCAGGCCCCAGTCAGGGATCTTCCTCAAGGGTTCATCCTCAAGGTTCTGCTGCATCCGGCTCCCTGAGCTCAGCCATGCCCACGACCTGACGAGGTCAACTCCTTGACCTCTCTGATGACCACCAAAGCCCCATGGGTCTAGCCCTGACCTCACTCCAGAGTTCAGACACATCTCCACTAGGGCATCCTTCAGGCCCCCTAAACCCAGCACCAGCTCTTGTCTCCTCCACTATTCTCTGGAGGATTTGGGTAAGTCATCCTGGCCTTGGTTTCTTCATCTATAACACGATGTCGCTTGTAGAAGGTTATAGCCAATCACCGAGGAGGCTGTCCCAGCCCTAACATCCTAGGATTCAACACCACTCACTGTATCATCCCCCCGACTGAGCTCTACCTCCTCCCTACACTCCCCACCTTCAAAATCAACACGTTCCTTCTTCAGCAAGCCCCAGCTTGAAAATTTAGGGTCAGCTTGGAATTGTCCCTCTTGTTCATGCCACAGCCCCAATTCTGGAAGATTCTCTCCAAGAGATACTCCCCTATCTGCACACTCCTCCCTGTTGCCACCACCAGCAACCTCGCTCAGGCCCCAGCACCACACCTCAAGGAGGCCCCAGCCCCATCTTCCCCCATACAGCCTGCCCTCGACCCTTTCTATCCATGGAGCTTCCAAACAGCCTTTGCATGGAGCCTGGGATTCCTCATGTCATTGTCAAGAACTAGACCCCACCATTGACAATCTCAGTGCCCTGGAGATTCTTTTCAGGTTAGGGATGAGGAGAGGAACATTTTATGGTGCTCAGGTTAGATGTTCACTATGTATTAATTAAATTCGTTTGGTCATTCATGCTTCTCAAAACACATCCCTTGGATGTTCATCTCCAATCCATGACAGACAACATCAGAGATCTCTTTGCAAATCATGAAGGGCTGGGGCCTTTGCGACTCAATGTCACACCCTTGTGACATTTTGCAAACAATTTCAGGAAGTCCATCTTCCCCCGGCCCTAGATAGAGCACAGTTTACTTCTGATTGAGCTCATGTTACAGATGGAAAGACTGAGAAAGAGAGAAGAAGGGACTTGTCTGAGACTATGCAGAACATCTCCTACTAGGCACCAGATCCTTGCACAAAAGTGCTGAGTCCACTCCCAGCCCCAGGCCCATGGCTTTGAGCAGCAGGTCACTTAACATCTAATGTCTTCATGCTGTTTCCTCATCTGTGCAAGAACAGCCATGTCTACCTGGCGAGGCTGTAGTGAGAGATCATATAAGCACAGGAATGGGGCTCAGCCCCGTTCTAGTTTCATTCTTTTCCTTGCTGTTTCTCTTCCTTTCCTGGCAGGATATGGAAGAAGGAAACATCGCTGCCATCTACAGTAGTCACAGAAGGCTTTATGGAGGAGGTGAGCCGTGCCTGGGCCTCAATTTTGGGTGCTGGAGGGAAGCAGGGGCCAAGAGTTATTAATAGGCTTGGCCTGATGGGCCCAGGGAGGCTGAATGTGATACAGACACCCAGCACCATGGTTGGGGAGTACCTGACACCGGAAGGGGAGGGGGCTGGGGGCTACAGGGAGTGCCACCTCCCAAAATAGCCAGAGCAGAAGCCTATATAGGTGGCCATCCCACCGCCAGGCTCACTTCCCAACAGGACCTCCCACCAGCCCAGCCTTTCAGGGCAAGCTTCAGCCCTCCACCCCCACCTGAGGTGAGTGGCAGCGACCGAGGTTGGAGGATAGAGGGATGCAGCAGGATGAGCCAGCTGGAAGGGACAGCTACATCTCCCCTGTCCCTAGTGACCCGGGGGCGGGGGAGTGTGGTGGGGGTGCTGGAGGCAGGGCAGCTGTGGAATGTAGGGCTGAGAGTATGCATTCCTGCTTCTCCACCCAGACTCCTGGTGTGGCCTGCGGCAAACTCTCCCCTCCCTCTGCCCCTGAGGCTGGGCCTCAGATTCCCCAGCCGTAGAACAAGAGGGGTGGAGCCAGACATCTGTGGACTCTGGTGATGCCGTAGGAGGAGACCCAGAGGGCAGAGGAGGACTACCGAGAGCTGATGGGATGACCTCATGACATTGATGCTCTGGCTGGGAGGACTCAGCCCCGAAGGGGGTTTCACGTTGATGAGAGAACTCAGCAGCAAGGAGAGAGGGAGGAAGGAGACGGAAGAAGAGTGGGCCTCTGTTGAGGCTCCGGCCTTTGCCACAAGGTCACTGCTTAGGGGCTCACCAGGAGCCAGTGTGGGGCTGAGACGTATGGCACCTGATAGAGCTGGGTCCCAGGCACCAGGGAGGATCACCCAGAGAGTCACTGAACTCCACATGAGTGAGCCCAGGGGTGTGCTCTGCTCTGCTATTGCTTTGCCATGTGTCCTCAGACCACTCACGGATTCTCTGCGCCTCCGTTTCTCCACTGGTATAGCTGAAGGGTCTTTGAGCCGGGGAAATCCATTCTCCAACTAGGAGTGAGCTGGAGTGAGCTCACCCCTGGAGTGAGCTGAGCCTGGGAGTTGAAATGATAGCGTAGGAGCCTGGCATGTCTGAGTCAGCAGCCCAGCTGGGGACAAGGTGCAGAGGTGACGGCAGTAGCAGCAGGGGCCAGGGCAGCTGAGGGATCCTGGGAAGTCCTGGATCGGAGAGGCATCAGGTCAGGAGCCGCAGTCTGGGTGCCTTGGAAGCCAGCTGGCGGGCTGTGGCCTGAAGGAGCTGACTCACAGGGAGGGGGCAGCTGGAGCCAGCAACGGTATCCTAAGGTTTCCAAGAAGGGCACCCATCCACGGCTGAGCTGCAGGAGACAGTGTTGACAATGATGTCAGGGAACTTGAGCTACTGGGCAGCTGGACAGCTGCTCTCCCTGGGCCCCACCACCGAGGGCCACCACAGCCCCAGGCCCTGCCTACCTGCCCATACCTTAAGTTGCAGTCCCTAGGTCCTACTACATGGGACCACTGACATCAACACATCACCGAGAGACAGAAGCCCAGAGAAGGTCACAACCCAAGGTCACACAGGGACTTAGCACAGCCCAGGATCTAGAACCCAGGCCTCCTGACTCCCTGTCCAGTGCTCACACACTCTAGAAGCAGCTGGTTGCAGCTTGAAACCTTGGGAACCGTGGGGAAGAACACAACTGATTTCTGGCTGCATAAAGATAGACACTGTGACATTTTTCCAGAGGTGAAGTTCAGAGCCCCCACGCCTGCTTAGATTGTCTAGAAAGCGTGGTCTGAAGGTGCTACCCTTCTTCCAAACATATGCGGGGCTTTCTGGGAGGGACCTTAGCAATTTCAAGCAGCCTCCCCCACCCTACTCTGACCAAAAAGATTTATGGAGGCAGAGGGAGTCTGGTCCCACGATGCCAGGACCCAGGAGACCAGGAAAGCAAGTAGTTAGTAGAGATCTCAGAAGTGTTCTTTGAAAAATCAAGCCAACAAAAAAAATAAAAATAAAACAAATCAGGTTTTAGAATGTGCATCCCTGGCCAGATGTGGGATGGGGCACCCAAAGTGGGCCCCAGCAGCTACTGCTTGTCCCCGTCCCTGTCCGTGCCACCTCCTCCCTGCGTCCGTGGGTCAGGTTTCACGACCTCAGCGCTCAGATTTTGCAGCATAAATTTGCGTCGAGGAAAGACCAGAGCAGAGGCTGAAGTAGGAGTGGAGAGAGAAAGAGAGCAGGGCCTAGGGGGTCCTGGGGTGCAGGCTGGCCGCTGAGGGTTCAGGATCTTCCCCCACGCGGCAGGACATCCTCGGAGGTTCCCAGATCTGAGACCCCGCACCTCCTGCGTGTCCTTGACAGCAGGTGGACTTTCCAGACCTGGCTGGTGACTCCAGTGCCCCCTAAATCCCAGAGGTGGCCCCCTTCCCCTTGTGCCCTGGCCGCAGCCCCTGGGATCCCGCGGACCCCCGGCCTGGCGGTGCAGGAGCGGTAGCAGGTCCGCGCGCCCTCTTGCCCGCGGCCGGCGCTGCTCAGCCGCGCGACTGGACTGAGCCGCTCCCGCTGCGCTCAGAGTCCGGGCCCCTGGCGCCATGCCAGGCCCGGCGGGCGTGCGCCCGGCGCGCAGCACTGCAGCGCTGGTCATATGAGCAGAAATGATGAGAAAAGCACTTTTTAATCTTTTCGCACTTGCTCTGCCCGCTCAAACAGTTGCAGGATGTCGATGACAGACTTGCTCAACGCTGAGGACATCAAGAAGGCGGTGGGAGCCTTTAGCGGTGAGAGCGCGCTCCCCCTCCATCCCTCTCCCCTAGTCCACCGCCCGCACCCCTGCACTCCGCGGGTCCCGCAGCCTGAGGGTCTTCCCCAGCGCGCTTCTGCCCACACTTCCCACTGGGAGCCGGCGAGGTCGGGGCGGGGGCGTCCTTGGCAGTTCCCAAACTCTGTCCGGGCGAGACGTGGCGCAGGGAGCGGGCGGGGAAGCGGGCGCCCTGCCCAAGTTACAGAAACTTGAGGGTGCTGAAGGCCCGGTGGCTGGGAGGACTCAGGGTCCGGAACCAAGGGCGAAGACCAGGGTCGGAGGAGGGATCGCCAGGGTCCTTGTACGAGCTCTCTGGACGTCCTCTTTAAGGCACGTGGAGAGGACTGCAGGGTGCATCCCCCTCTCCAAGCGACCCCTTTCCTGGACCCTCATTCTGGATAGGACTTTTTCCGCCAGGCGGTAGCCATTGTTGGCCCCCTGACTGCCCTAGTTCCTTTACTGAGATTCAGCAGCGGACCTGCGGGCGAGGTGACCTTCTGGAGCCGGCGCACAGCTCTGCCCAAACCTGCACGGGGCACCTTCAGTGCCTCAAACCTCGGGCCTCCTTCGGCGGGCCGGGGAGGGGAACTGGCAGTCTCACCTCTCCCAGCTGCCCGGGACTTCAGCGCTTAGCTGCCCGCCTTCCTTCTCCCCTGTCGTACAGATGGGGAAACCAGGGAACTGTCTTGGAGAGGACAACACAGTTGCCCAAGGTCACCGAGCTGGGCAGAAGGGGTATTAGACCTGGGTTGCCCAGCCTAGTGTCGGAGGTGGACAGGGCAACTTTCCTTGCCTCTAGCCGTGTGCTGAGGGGAAGAGAACATGACTTTCACAGTCACCTCCTGCACACAGACACACACACATACACACACACACCCCTACACATACACACACACACACACACACACATACACACACATACACATACACATACACACACACACACACATACACACACACACATATACACACACACATATACACACACACGATACAGGATCTAACATTGTACCCTTCCCCAGGTGTTCTAAAATAGGACCCCAAGATACAGAAAATTGCAGGTAGAAAAGGACCCCCATTTCCTTTCTGCTTTGCACCCCCTCCCCTGGGCACAAGAACCTCTCTGGGAAGCCACCCTCCCAGGGTCCTGGAATAACCCTCTCCCTTCACCTCAAGCCCATCTGGGAAGAAACTTAACTGGGTATTTCTCGGGAGCCTCCCAACACCCCCTTCCCACTGCCTCCTAAATGGATTTCTACGCAGAGCCAGGACTTCCGGGTCTGCCCCTCCTCCTCCCTCTGTGTGACCTTGAGGGAAACCTGACCTTTCTATGTCAATTTTCTGGCCACACAGTCTGTGGCCAAGAAAGAAGGTCAACCCTCCTCCCCCTACTCCCGGGACCATGTTCATGCCCCCTTCAATTCCCTAGCCCACTCCCAACCAGCTGGCGCCCAAAAGGCTTCCTGGACACGAGGTTCTCAGAAGAACAAAAGCCTTTGGTTCTTAGGTGCTGCTCCCATCACCAGCAATGGGTGCAGTGGAGGCGGGGTGTGGGGGCAGGCTTGAGAGCCGGGGTGGTCTGGGTGTGAGCACACCTCTTCCACTCCCAGCCTTATGACCTTGGGCAGGGCATCCTCCCTTGCCCAGGCTCCCTCAGTCCTCCGATGGAGGTGGGTACCTCTCATTCCCCACAACTGGCATGCGGGAATCCATCAACAAATGCTTTGACGTCCTCCATTCTCCCACGCTTCCCTACCAGCCTTTCTGGTCCTTATTTGACCCTGCTCTTCCCCCCACAGCTATTGACTCCTTCGACCACAAAAAGTTCTTCCAAATGGTCGGCCTGAAGAAAAAGAGTGCGGATGATGTGAAGAAGGTGTTTCATATCCTGGACAAGGACAAAAGTGGCTTCATCGAGGAGGATGAGCTGGGGTAAGCGGAGGCCTACAGGGGCTGCCCAGCCCACGGCTGTGCGAGAGGGAGTGGGGGCTGGGACTCTAGCTTCCAAGTGTCCATCAGACCTGCCTTTCACTCTGCCTGCTTCACAGAAAGTAACGGTGCGTGAAGGCAGTGCTCGGACCCAGGGCACCAGGGGAGAAGGCTTCCCGGCACTATTGCTTCGGAAGAGTAAAACTCTCAGCTGAAAGTGCAACTAACTGGGTTAAGTGATAGCCACTTAATATTGCTAATGGAGTGATGCTACTTAATAATTTAATACAAATGAAGAGGCAGTTTTTGTTGCTGCCTAGCACCATAGGCAGGGCAGAAAGCATTCACTTGAGTATTTCATTGATTTTCATTTGTCTGACAATTTCCACCTTCCTGCAGCCCCCAGCCCTCTGGTACTAGTGTGGCTGGTGCATTTTCTGGGCAAGCCAGGGATGCAGAACCAGCTCTGGGGCTCCAGGGGTCCTTGGAGAAAAGCAGAGAAGGAGAAGGCTGTGGCTAGGAAAATGTATGCCTCCATCTGCAAAACCGTCTCCTGACATAATCCCCTCGGCCACCCGTCTACTGACTCAGGTTGCCTTATGTCACCTTCTGGCCAAGAAAGCCTTGAGTTTTGTCACAAAGAGAAGCGGGGGGGGGATGGGTGCAGGGAGAGGCCTTCAAGTAGGGACTTCCCCAACCATCCTGTCTCCCCGCTAAACCATCTCACAAGGGTACCTTCTGTCTAGAACCTTCATATTCTACCCACTTACATCCAACATGCATGCACACTTCTGCGCGCGCGCACGCGCACACACAAACACACACACACACATTCACAGAGGCTGACTTCCCCCTGTCTTCCAGGCATCACCTTCACTGGGAAGCCTCCCTGCTCCTCCCCTCACCCCAGGCGGACCGATACAGCTTCTGAGCGCCCTCCTCCACTTCCGCCCTCATTGTGCCCATCACACCGTGTGGTCTCTCTTAGAGCCCATGACCTCCTTTTTTTTTTCAGTGCCTTCCGAAGATCACCACTGTGACGCCACTTTCCAGCATATGCCTGACACAGAAATGACACTTAGTGGATACTTGTTGGATAAATTAACCAGTGTAGGTGCCCTCCCTGAAGCGGGATCAGCCCTTCACTGAGGACAGCCTGTCCTTTCCTGAATACTCATCCACGAAAGCACAGCCACCGAGCAGGCTACCTGGCACAGAGCACCTGTGTGCGTGACTGCTGCTCACTGCCTGTCCCAGCCACCCCTTTCCCCACGCAGACACCAGACCACCCTCCATCCAGCGTCCTGCAAGGAGACCTCGGCCTGACTCCCTCACCGGCTTTCTCCCTTTTCTCCTCCAGATTCATCCTAAAAGGCTTCTCCCCAGATGCCAGAGACCTGTCTGCTAAAGAAACCAAGACGCTGATGGCTGCTGGAGACAAAGATGGGGACGGCAAAATTGGGGTTGACGGTGGGTAGCGGTGACCTGGGGTCTGGGCATATTGTGGATCTTGGGGTGTTGGATGCAAAAAGTTTGAAGCTATGTCTGTCACAAGGAAGGGATGATATGGGGCCCCTCACTCCCCTAGATTAGAAGATAAAAATCAGTCCATTAGGTCTGAGAGCTCTGCCACATACTCCAGACAAAGGAAAACTGGTGTATTTTCCTAATTTGAAAACCTAAAAGGAGTAGATTCTGTTTTTCCTGCTGGGTAGGGGATCCAGGAGGATTAGGGATTTTTTTTTTTTCCTGAACTCAGCCTGCACTTTTGCATGAATACTGATCCAAGCTCTGCCCAAACTGGCTGTGTGACCTTGGGCAGTGTCTCTCAATCACTGGGCCTCTGTCTCCCATCTGTAATCCAAGGAAATGAGGCCGACTAATCCCCAAGGAGCCTCTACCTCTCACATTCTGATTCCAGGGATGGAAATTCCTATCTCCTCTCCTCCTCAGCATCTTGTCCTGGTGTCCTGTAACCCCAAGTCTCAAAACCTGTTTGGGTTTTACTCAAATGTACTATTCTAGCCTTGCAGCAGAGCCAGGAAAAACAGAAAGCCAGAAATCAGCGGGGAATTCGGACGGGGAATACCTGGTCCTGCCTTGCTTTGCAAGCTTTGATGTTAGCACAGATGAGAGACCAGTGGCCCATCGTCCACTCCTTTCTCCATTTGGCTCCATGTGGCGTTCATACAGCGCACCCACATTGCCATCTCTCTTAGCATCATGATTTCCTCAGGAATTATCTCCAGTTTGCAGGTGGGCAAATGGACTTTGACGGTGCTTAGCCTAGTTCAAAAGAGCTAGGACACAGTGGTGGGGCAGGGATTTAGAACTAGGCCTGAATGAGTGTTTGCAGCATGCTAAGCTGCTATTTGCTCCCATAATGGGCTTTTCTGCTGATCTCAGAGAAAACTGTGTGTAGGTGCTGGGCCTCTCGGCCCCAGGCTATCTCGGTTCAAATCCCAGCCCTCCTGCTTTCGAGCTGTGTGACCGTGCACAATTAGATAACTACTCTGGGCCTCCGTTTTCTCATCTCTGAACTGAACATAATGATAATTCCTATAGGGTGATTACAAGGGTTAGATGTGTTAATATGTAAAGTGCCTAGAGTAAATGCTATATATGCATTTATTAGCTAATTCATTTAAAACTAGGGACTGTGCTGCATTCATCCTTCTAGCCCCAGTATCTAGCCAATACCCCACACAAAGCAGGTTCTTCTAAACATCTGTGCCTGAGTATAAAACCCAGACCCCCATGCTCTGCTCCCTCTCTGCCCCTTGCCAGCTGTGACCTTGAACACATCACCTCTGCACACCTACGTTCCCTTGCCTGGCAAATGGGGTGCATGAGCTTCTCCTAAGACCTGTCTGGACTCGTGAAAATTAAGTTTCTGTGAATACAAAATTGCTTTGGGAAAGGTACAAGGAATATGAAAGTAGGTGTATGCTTATGAGCTAGAGGGTTTTCTGTTGTTGTTGTTCATTTCTTTTTTGTTTGTTTGTTTCCTGCCAGTAACGAGAATGGAGAATCCCTATCAAGGTCAAATGCAGGGGGTCCCCTGGCTGTCTGATGCCAGCTGCCCTTCTTGTGGCTGGGAGGGAGGGAGGTGGTTTTAAAGGAGTGGAGTAGAGGGTATTGGAAAGGCATCATTGGCTTGGCTGCTCCTCGGGCTTCTGGTGCTTGGCAGATCCTCCCTCACACCCCCATCCCCACCAGTCTGCTTATCAGACAGCTCCACCCCAAGGCTTGGCTCCCACCTCAACCCTGACCCAGGCCTCCAGACCTGCCTTCCATTTTTATTTGCAGCCAATATGCCATAGCTCAGAAGCCCTGGGCCGGGTCTTCATGGCTGACTGCTCACAGACAACCTACATGATGAAGAAAAACCAAGCCAGACCTGGCCCAGTTCCCTGCCTCCCTCCCTCCCTCCCTGCCACACCCAGATCTTAAAGCATCAACTAAACTCTTCTAACAGATCCAGCAGATGTTGACTGAGTAGCAACTCTGTGCCTGGCAATGGAAGAGATAAAAATAATTCAGGCCCATTTCCTGACTGGGTGCCCCTGAGCACCTGCTCCTTAGCCCTGAGCCCCAGCTTCCTCATCTGTAAACTAGGCATTATAACGTGAGAATGAGGCCTGTAGTGCCCAGCACATAGCAAATGCTCAATAAACGGCAACTCCAATGCCTTATTTATTTATTTATTTAGAGACAGTCTTTCTCTGTTGCCCAGGCTGGAGTGCAGTGGTATAATCTCAGCTCCTTGCAACCTCCGCCTCCTGGGTTTAAGCAATTCTCCTGCCTCAGCCTCCCGAGTAGCTGGGATTGTAGACACGCACCACCATGCCCAGCTAATTTTTGTATTTTTAGTGGAGATGGGGTTTCACCATGTTGGCCAGGCTGGTCTTGAACTCCTGGCCTCAAGTCATCTGCCCACCTCAGCCTCCCAAAGTGCTGGGGTTACAAGCATAAGCCACCCACCTGGCCATACAATGTCATTGTTATAGTCTGCACATTGCTTGCAGCTCTACACATATACACAAACAAGTGATAGTGCCAGCCAGAGGCAGAGGTGCAGGCTTCAGGCATTTTGTGCAGACTCACAGGCTATGCCGCAGGCTGTAGGAGACAGAGGGAGTGGGGTCCAGGCAAGGCATTGGCATCAGCTGGAAACTGTAGGGTATGTTCAGAAAGGGGCAAGAAGATTGTTTTCCCAAGAATGGGAGGAAAGACTTATTAGCTGGGCATGTCATGTGTGTCCAGCCCAGTGCTGGGTTTGGTTACCTCATTTGACCTTGGGATGACAGAAGACATAAGTGCAGATGTAGAAAGGGCAGCCCAGGGAGTGAGTGCAAGGTCACACTGCCAGCAAGTGCCAGGGCCAGGATTCAAACCCAAAAGCATGGTCCAGGCCCACCTGTGCAGCCTCCATTGAGCTCATAGGCAAGACATAAAATAGACAATGAGCACAGACCACCCTGAGGCACTGGGGCCCCACACCTCATGCTTTTGAGGTGGGAAGATGCAGATGCCCCCTTCCTCACTCCCAACCCCCTAACGCAGGAAGGGTGGGTGCCATGATGCCCAATAGGTGGTGAGATGGGAAGCAGAGCCTTTTTGGGGCCCAGGACATTCTGTTTCAGATACTCTGCTTTGCTGTCACTCTCTCTTAAGGCCAGAGGGCCCAAGCCCCACCTATAGCTGGAAGATGCCTTCAGCTCCTGGTAGGTTCTGGGGCATGTCCCAGAGAGCCCTTCTGACCATAAAGTGCCTCATCTTTAAAACCATGAGGCAAGCCGGGCGTGGTGGCTCACACCTGTAATCCCACCACTTTGGGAGGCCAAGGCAGGTGGATCACAAGGTCAGGAGTTCGAGACCAGCCTGACCAACATGGCAAAACCCTGTCTCTACTAAAAATTAAAAAATTAGCTGGGTGTGGTGGCACATGCCTCTAATCCCAGCTACTCAGGAGGCTGAGGCAGCAGAATCACTTGAACCTGGGAGGTGGAGGTTGCCATGAGCCGAGGTCACACCATTGCACTCCAGCCTGGGCAACAGAGCAAGACTCTGTCAAAACAAAAACAAAAACAAAAACAAAAAAACAAAAAACAAACCATGGGGCAGATAACTAGCCAGTTACTGGGGTACATTCCAGCCCTGGAATTTCACAGATGTCCCAGTGGATAAACGTCTACCCAGAGGACCACTTCAGTATTTTGGCTCAGCTGCGTGACCTTGAATGACGATGGCAATAGCATCTAACTTCATAGAGCACTCAATACATGCCAGGCACTGTGCTTAGCATTTCCCTCATTTAATCTTTCTAGCTATCTCTGAAATGTATACTACTATGATTCCCATTTTATAGATGAGCACACTCCGGCTCAGAGAGACTAAGGGCCTGCATAAACCCTTTAGGCTAGGAAGAGAAAAGATCAAGGTCTGAAATCAGGTCTGTTGAGCTCCCAAGCACATGACCTGTGCTGCCTGCTTCATTCATTCATTCATTCACAGTTTAGTTTATGATAAGATGATTTTATTGATTGACTTATTGCCTATTTCTTTCTCCTCCACTAGGATGTCAGGTCCGCTGAACAGGAACTTTGTTTTGTTCAGTTCTAATCCCAGCACCTAGCATAGGGCCTGGCCCATAGTGAGAGAACAAGAAAAGTGTATTGGTTGAATGAATGAATGAATGAATGAATGAATGAATGAAATGAACAAGTGCTCAGCTCTGGGCAGCACTGTGCAGTGATGAGGACGCACAACTGCTGTATGTAGGGGGAGATGATCTGCAAGCTGAGGTTGGGGATCTGTGGGGACTTGTCTGTAGCAGGTGCTGGGAGAGCCCCAAACCAGGGACTGCCTCTCTTCCCTGCTCTGTTTGTCCTTCTGAAGGTGAGTGATATTTACCAGGTTCTTGAAGATCCTGTATTGAAGGGAGGGGGTAGGAAGACAAAGTTCTAATAATAACCCTTTGCATTCCTGTCTCTGGGGCAACTACTTCCAGGAAACTCAAAGGCTTTTATAGATGTGGTTGATTGATTCTCAAAGGCCACCCTAAAAGGCTGGTGCAGAGCTGATATGGGGAGGGGCTGAAGGCTGAAAAGGAAAGAGAAGCTAGAAAAAGAGGCGAAGGGTGCCAAAAAAATCTTTGTTAAAGCACCTGTGGTTGCAAAGCCCAGGCATAAAAGGCAGACAAAGCAGACTATGTGGCAGGTGCCTTTTCAAATACTTCACCTTCACAGCGGGTCTCCAGCTGGGAGTCAGTGTCAGCATCACCTGGAGGGCCTTTGGCAACACAGATGGCTGTGCCGGACCCAGGAGTTTCTGATTTCTTAGGTGGAGCCCACACTTTTGCATTTCTAACAAGTTAGCAGATGGTGCTAATGATCTGGCGAACCACACTTAGAGGACCACTGCCTTACAATAATCCTAGAAAGTAGATGCCATCGCTATCGCCATTT